CCTTTTTGCCCTTAGGCTGCTCCGGATTTCTCTGGTCAGCCAAGGAAGCCTCTTGGCCCCTTTTCCCCCGCATCAGGATCATCTCCCTCTGTGCCCAAAGGATCGCTTCCTTGAGGCACAGCCGTCATTCCTGGGCTTCCATCCCACCAAATCTCCTACTCTGCAGTGTGTCATTGACTAAATGCCTGAGCTTGCTGAAGTCAGCCTTTCTGAAGTCTAGCACTTCCACCCTACTAGTTACCTTACCCACTCTACGCCTTATGTGGGTAAGGTGAATTTTATTATTTGGTGGTCACTGTCCCCCAGGTGAACACTGACCTGTAGGTCTCCCACCATGTCATCCCATTGCCAATACCAGGTCCGGTAAGGCGTTCCCCCTAGCCGGACCATGTACTTCCTGCGTCAGGTGGAGGTCCTGTATACAGGATAGAAACCTGCATGAATGACGGGAATTTGCTGTCTGCATCTCCCAGCAGATGTCAGGGTGGTTTAGGTCCCCCATGACTACCACCTCCCTAGTCTTTATGGTTTCCAAGAGCTGCCTCAGGAGTTCCAAATCTAGTTCTTCCCCTTGGTGTGGGGGTCTGTAGCAGACCCCTACCACCAAATCCCTTTTCCCTTGACCTCCATGTATCCTAACCTACAATCCTTCTACTTTCTCCTCCTCCGATTCCATTTTGATAAGGGTCGATGTATAACGCTCCTTGACATAGAGCGCAACCCCTCTCCCTCTCCTCCCCACTCTATCCTTTCTGTACAGCTTATAGCCCTCGATGTACCTAATCAATTTTTTTATGATGGGTACTGACATTTGGAAGCCATCCTCAAGCCTATCAGGAGTAGAATTTTTTTAACCATGCACTTTTATGACCGATTCTTTAAAATTATATTCAGCATTGTGGCAGGAGTCTCCAGGTGGTGCACTTAGATAGATATAAATATTCTTTTTCTTAGCATACAATTAACATTCACCCTTTGAAGAAGCACCATATTGTTTTACTTCTATGAGGTAACTTTAGTTTGATTGCTTTTGAAGCAGCAGGAGACTTCTGGCTGTGTCAATAACTCTAAGCTTTTGTCAGTTCTTGATGCAAAGTTGCTTCCTGAGAAATGAGCACTAGCTGAGATCCCTCACAGAGCCCAACTGCGGTGTTCTACTACCCCATCTTTTATTAATTTGGTGTCCATTGTACTCACACAAGGCTGGTGTCAATGGTGTAAGAGGAATTACAGGTTACAAGGAATCGGGTGAAACCCAAGATGAGCACACTTCCTCCATGGGTCCCATAGAGGGAAATTAAATGATTTGCTCAAGGTCACAGAAGATATCAGTGGCAGGGCAGGGAACAAACAAGTAACCCTCTTCAAAACTGGTTTCTCTTCCAATGGGAAAACAACATGGCAAGGTTCTGAAATCTGATAGCATGCCCCTAAAGGGCAGCTGCATACAAGTTAATGAGAAATCTTTTTAACTTATTTGATATATGGTAAAATGAAGCACTAGAAAAGGGGTCATCAATTGGCACAGATGTTTGTGCTGTTGTCAGGAATCACTTTGTTGTGCATTACATTGGAGTCTACCTGCTATCTCTGCTGCTATCATCTGATATGGACACTGTTTCTCCCAGACTGGCAAGGTAGCTTTTACCAATTACTATTTTTTGTTATAATTTGATTGCTATGTATGCCACAGCTGAGGCCAGATAAACCAAACAGACGTTCTGGAAGGACAGGGACACGTGCACACACTGAAAATGTCCTGTTCCCTTTTTGCAGGAGACTGATTCTATAAAGCACAGAAATGAAGGATGTAGTTCCTGTTTGGGGCTTTTGTTTCCCGTGATGGGAGGATTCCTTGTAACAACATGAGAACTGCCATTTCCTGGGTCAGACGATAGGTCCATCTTGCCCAGTATCCTTTATCACACAGGGCAGAGAGTGGAGACTGAAAGGAAGAGTGAACTGGGTATGACCAGGGTGTTTCCCCTGTTCCTTTCCCACTTGCAGCCTCTGGCATTTAAGGTCTAGGAAGTTCTGATTCCCTGTGTATTCACACTTATCTTTGGGGTGGGGTGTTTGCCTCCAGTCATTATGCTCCTGGTAAGCCAAGAGAAAAGTTGAATGAATCTTGGCTCAGGGCTAGACCAGTGGTTCTCAACCTTTTTAGACTCGAGGCACCCCTCAGAAAATGCCAGCTCTGAGTATTTGCTTGGCTTTTTAGACTCCAGAAAAGTAATATAACAGGTTTTTTTGTTGCAAAGAACACCAGAAGACCACACCAGGGCAGAATGGTTTTAGCCCTATGGATTTCTGTTTGGAATCTCTATGAATAGCTTGCAAATCATGTTTCCCCCCTGGCAAATGCTAACATTGAGTGGCACCTTATACCACCCTTGAAAGGATCTCAAGGCACTCCAGGGTGCTGAGGCGCCCAGTTGAGAATGCCTGGCCTAGACAGTGGCGGGCACGCTACAGCTTTGGGTAGGTGGCATGAGATTTTCTCACAAATTCCTGGCCCCTTAGACTCATAGAAAATCAGGGTTGGAAGAGACCTCAGGAGGTCATCTAGTCCAACTCCCTGCTTAGAGCAGGACCATCCCCAACTAGTTTGTCCCAGCCAAGGCTTTGTCTTTAAAATCTCCAAGGATGGAGATTCCACCACCTCTCTGGGCAGCCTGTTCCAGTGCTTCACTACCTTCTCTGTGAGAAAGACTTTCAGCATATCTAAACTAAACTTCCCTTGCTGCAACTTGAGACCATTGCTCCTTGTTCTGTCATCTGCCACCACTGAGAACAGTGTAGCTCCATCCTCTTTGTAACTACCCTTCAGGTAGTTGAAGGCTGCTATTAAATCCCCCCTCCATCTTCCCTCCTCCAGACTAAATAAGACCAGTTCCCTCAGCTTTTCCTCGTAAGTCGTGTCCCCCAGCCCCTCACCATTTTCACTGCCCTCCACTGAACTCTCTCCAACTTGTCCACATCCTTTCTGTAGTGGGGGGTCCAAAACGGGACTCCAGATGTGACCTCATCAGTGCTGAATACAGAGGAAGACTCACTGCCCTCGATCTGCTGGCAACACTTCTATCCATGCAGCCCAGCGTGCCCTTGCCTTGCCCCACAGCTGCCCCACCTCCATGCTTTGCTTCCCTTTCTCCCCTCTTCGTGCTTCCTCTTCTCCAAATTCCAACCCCTCGCTGCTGAAGGGCCCCGACCTGAGGGCTGAGCAGGGCGCTGGCTTCCCCCGCTGCTACTGGGCAGGCTCCGCCGATGGGCGCAGAAGCGGACGGGAGCCCGAGCCCACAGCAGCCCTGGGGCGGCAGAACGCGGCGGGCAGGGGATGGAACGCTAGTTCTGCCCCGCCCTCTCGAGCAGCCAATCCGCGCCGCCACATAGAATGTTGCTGTCTCCAGCGTTCCATGGATGGAACCTGGAGCCTGAGCCCCTGGGCAGGGCGGCTGCTGCTGCTGCTCTGCCTGCCTGCGCGGGGGCACGTGCCGGGGGCTCTCCGCACAGGCCAGGCAGGGGGATCAAGGAACGGCTGCGCTGCGGATACCCTGCCAGGTGCCGCCTACGCTTGGGAAGCAGGGGGACCGGAAGGGTAGGAGGAAGCACGCGAGGGTTTCCTGAGATGAGAGATTACTTCCGTCCATCCATCCTTCCAGCCACCCGCTTCTCTGTCTGCAGGGGGGTGGGTGGGTTGGGGGAGGCTGAGGAAACAGCACAGGGGCTGTGGGCAGCTGTGTCTACCCAGGACTCGGGGGGAGAGGGGGTAGGGGTGTTTCTTGACTTGTCCCAACCCAGACACAGCAAATCATTCGGCCTCAGGCATCCCCCAGCTACTTAAACCCCCACCCCTTCCCAAAGCCATGGTGGCCAAACAGCGGATCCGGATGGCAAACGAAAAGCACAGCAAAAACATCACACAGAGAGGGAACGTAGCCAAAACCCTGGTAAGGTGACTGGGAGGACGGGAAGAGGGATAGGAGTTGGGAGGAGGGGGAGGAGGAGGGTGATCTCCTAGTAAGTCCTCAGCCCAGCACAAGGGGTAAAGTGGGGATCGGGAGCTGAAGGGTTAAGAGGCAGCTGGAGCTCCAGGCTGGGGAGCAGAGAGGATGATCTTCTTATAATTTTTTTTAATTCATTTGGTGCTGCCCGGAGGGAGTGCTCCAGGCTAAGCCAGAGTGTGTGGAAGAGCCTGATGCTAAAATCAGGAGCCCCTGTTCTGAACTGATGAATGGAGGCATTTGCACACTGCAGTGAGCGAAAGTGCCGGTGTCTTGCGAAAAGCACACAGCACAATCCTCCTCTGGGAGGGAGAAACCCACACTGTCCACCTGAATACCCAAATGGGGAGAGACTGAGAGATTGGCATGCAGAAAGCAAGTCCCTGCATGCAGGCACTGCCACACATACACACCTTCCCCTCAGCCACTTGAGAAATCTACACACATAACCCACCCCACATGCCCAGTGGGGAATGACACACAGCAAAATCCAGTAGGGCTACGGACAGCCGCTCGTAGCCACTGAAAGTGTACAGGCATGAAAATCAAGTCCGAGCTCTCTTGCTACCTGGTGAGGGGTTATTTTGTTCAGTTTTCCTGGGCCACCGGGCTTGCAGGAGATTAAAACGCCAAGATTTATTCAACTTCGCTTGAAAGAAAGCAGCATGCTTTCCTGGGTAAAATGCTGTCAAAGGAAGTATAAAGCCTCTGTGGCTGAGACAAGAGAGTGCTATTTGAGTTGCGTAGGACATTCAGGTACTTCCGGTACTGTCAGGACAAGAAAAACAGGTTGAGCTTAGTTCAATAAGCTCACTAAGACCAATCTAAGCTTAATCATGTTTCCTTGGCAAGACATGTTTCCTTGGCAATACAGGCAGTCCTCGGCTTACAATGTTTCGAGTTACATTTCGCACTTACAACAGTTATAAATTGACATCCTGTTTCAACTTCATGAAGTCCATTTCGATTTTACAATGCTTGATCCAATGTGACACCATGCCAGCAAACAAGTTCACTGCATCGCTCATCTCCCTGCAGAACATCTGTCCAAACTTCCCTGGACGCTTTCTTTAAGAAGCAGACAAGACTCCAAAAGAACCTGCAGCCAAGGCTCCTGAGAAGACTCCAGCCAAGAACGCTTCAAAAAGTCCAGCAAAGTCACCTCAAAGAAGTCCTTCCAAATCAATGTGCTTGCTATTTACAATATAAATACATTAATATAGCTATATTACTCATCTATAATTGATTGAGTACAAAATTCTGGGGTATTTTTGGTGAAAATAGGAACCAATCTCCCATTTATAACATTGTTTCTTATGAGAAAATTAGTTACAATGTTTCAACTTAAGACAAGGTTTTCAGGAACCAATTGTGTCCTAAGTCCGAGGACTGCCTGAAAAAAAAAAGAGGCAACTGGGTATGGTCCCCTTTCATCACTTAGGGCTCCCTTCTGCTCCCGTGTACAGTAGAAATTGAGCCTTGAAATACAGTTGACTTCAGTAGCTCCGCTGGCTAGTGAGGCAATAACCTTCCAGCCACAGAAATCCTGTTTATGCCTTTGGAAAAAAACTGTTGCCCTCCTCGCATATGTCACACTTGTGTACCTGCTGTATACATGAAGTTTGAATGCTGAAGAGCTATGCTTAGCTTCATGCATCTGCTTATTAGTTAAACCCGATTATTGAGCCATTCTATTGACATTTCAGCTGCTTAATTTTGAAAATACTCTCAGAATGTTGGTTAGTGGGAGAGATTTTTATTTTAATCCTTAGTTCTTGTTTGCTTTAACTTGTTTAAAAGCTCTTGCTTAGCTAAGTCCACCCATGAGAGTGAATTTCATGGAATATAGTTTGGTAATATCATCTTCCTATTCCTTCAGAGCTTTTTGCCCCATATTCACAGGAGGTAAACTGTTTCAAAGGGAACCCTGTTGTTACAATGGCAGAAAAGTACTTGAAATTCAGTGCTGCGTCCTTCATGTTGTCAAGAAGCTCTTGGAACTAAATCAGCCTCCTACAACACCCCCATCCTACAGTTCTGACCAATTATGTCAGCCTGAAAAGTGGGACTTTTGTTCAACAAGATTTGGCAATAGTTTAATTATAACACAACTGAAACGTGCTCACACTTTTTAAAGGTGACCTTAAATGCTCTTTTGAAAAGTGAAAGCATAAAACTGTTGGTGTTTACCATAAAATATTGCAGGCTCATTTGAAAAATGTGCTTCTGTGAAACAATGTCCTGCCAATGACACACAGTACAGTACAGCTTATTTTTTCCCTTCATCCCCAAGTCAAGTGAATCTGGTTTTTTCTATTGTTCCTGCCACTTGTTGATGTCTGAAGTAGTCTTTCTGGCTGAAGTATGAGAGACTAACAGATGTTTTCCTCTAATGTCAAAGACATTTTTCATGATTTCAATGCTTCTCTTGTTTCTAATAACACTGAGGCACTTAGGTTTGATCCCACACAGTGTCATGTCAGTGCAAAAATCCCCATGAACTGAGTGGTGCAGGATTAAGTCCTTAGAAAGCACTTTTCATTCAGAGATCTTTAAAACACAGGAGCTTGTTTAGCACCATTTATGGGGATGGGGAAACAGTGGTACAAATAGGTTATGGACATGTCTGTACTGTAACTATGCTAGGCAGGGCTGGAACAAAAGTATACCCTCTCTTCTCTCCTCCCACTTACTTATTCCTGTTCTCTGTGTTACTAAATACTGAAATAATGCCATATAGCTGCTGTTCGGTACATGCCCAAGGTAATTCTCCAGCATGGGCATGACTGGGACATCCCCAGCACCATTCTAATGGAGGGTACTTTACATTTTTTCCAGTCTTGGGAAGATTTGGAGGGGCATGTTTTTATGGCAGTGCTCTGCAGTATGGTAGGAGATGGCATAGGCATGTCCTGACATACTCAAGTTAACAAGGTAGGTCTGTAGAAGACCTAGGACCAGAGTCCAAGTCTCTTGGCTCATATCAGGCGCCCATTCTTTGCAGTAGATGATGACAAAACAGCATCCCTCTCCTCTGTCCTCCCTTTGCTTCTTCCCTTCCCCCACTTCTTTTGCTTCTGTCCTTTTCACTAAAACTTCCCCTTCTCTCCCTTTTTTCCCTTCTCCCTCCCATGTGGGCTGCACACCTCTCAGCCATATTTTTGCCATTCTCCCCTCCCCTCAAATTGACCACTTCAGGCTCATGGGAGCTGTCCTAGCAAAAACTTCTAGATATTAGCTAGGTATTAGCTGCAGTTCTGAGGTGCTCAAAATAAAGCAGTTTTAGATTAGTGTTGCAGAACTATTAATAATATTGGTATTTGCTTATGGGCCTAAACCAAGAACTGGGTCACACTGTGAGAGGCCTGTCTAAACACATAGTAACATACTCATCTAGACAAAACAGGTGGTAGAAATCAGGAATTATTATCCCCCATTTTGAAGAACTGAGACACAGTGATGTGTAGTCACTCTCTCAAGGTGATACAGGACATCTGCAACAGAGCTTGGAACTGAAAATTGTCTCCCGAGTCCTGTCAAGGGTCTTAACCACAACACCCTCCTTCCTCTATCTGTATTTCCACAACTTGAACAAACAATTCCTCTTTTACTTTCCTTATCTTAGAGCTCTGTGAATCCCCTGCTACCATTGATTATATGCCTAATATCTCAGAGCCCCATAAAAGCCTCTGCTCAGATCTTGGTTGGGGAAAAGCCTCTCTACATATGCCGTTTTTGTGAGCCATATGAACTGACCGTTTTATCTCCTATAATTGTAGGCTGTCTTGACAGCATGATCATGATAGATCATTATTAGCTCCACTGGCAAACTTGATCTTCTTGTGCACTCTTTTATCCTACAAAATTGTGATCTAATGCTGGGATCTTTGGACTGACCCTTGCTTATTCCTTGCCTGTTCTGTTTTTTTCCTTTTCACAACTAGAGATGCTTAATGTAAGATGAAATAACTGAGGAAATAAAATACGTATTCAGTTATTTGGCTAGTTTGGAAAAGTGTTATTTAATGGCATTTTATACATTTAATTCTGCCAGTGTGCATGGCTAAACCCAACACATTAAACAAGTCAAAGTCATAATTATTAATTTGATGTTTAAACTATTCATCAGGTAGAAAAGCTACAGAAGGTGGCTGCTAATAGATGTACATTTTCAGAAATTTGCAGGGACTTTTTTCATTATATGTCAATCTTTGAAATCCTACAGAGAACATGTTTGCATTCATTCTTCATTACAAAAACCTCTAGTGTATTAGGCTCCCAACAATAATCATGTATCAAAAAACAACTCAGTAGTTCAAAGTGACCATAAAACATGACATTCTTTCTTCCTTTCCCCTTCAAAGCTACATATTAGAACGCTCAGTTGTGCTGCCTCAGAATAAATTATCTGGAGTAGAAACTAGCTGAAACCAAATTTATTTTTAGCTTAAGAATATTTCTTGGCACATACTGACAAACAATTATAGTACACTTTAATTTGATTTTAACAACTTCCTCTCTCCAGTGGACAGACATTGGATCTATGAGTGTGTACATGTGTGTTCTTCAGCCAACAGCACCATCAGGGAACATTATTATTACTTTAAAAATCCAACATCTAGTATCTCACAAAATACATAAGGCCATGTTCTTTATCCCAAAGAGCTTACAATGTAGATAAAACAAGGGAGGGTTGTAAACAGCCAAACAGAGGAAGGAAATAGATAAGCAAATAGTAAGGGGAAAAAACCCACCTCACTTTCCCTTTTCCCTTGAGAAACTCAGGATTACAGATCTGAAAATAATCTGAGAGAGGCATTAATTAAGTCCTCTTTAAAGGGGAAAAAACAGATTTGAGCATTACTGAATCCCTTAAGCTTTCTGACCTCAGAGCAGACTCTCCTGTAAATACAACTGTCACTCTTCTGTTACTGTATTGTTTTTCATTTCAACTTCTTATCATTACTGTGAAGCAGTTATGGCAGCAGAATACCTTGTTTTATGTTTGAATGTTTGAGTTTGTTCACTGTTTGAGGTTTGAAGTCAAAACCACACCATTCTTTATCTTGCCTTTCTGCTTCTGTTTTTTAAATGAGCTAACGAGCAAAAGGTCAGATTGCTAACAGACTGAAATCTTCTTTCCCCCTCCCATTTTAGCGGCCACAAGAAGAGAAATATCCTGTAGGACCATGGCTGCTGGCTCTGTTTGTTTTTGTTGTCTGTGGATCAGGTAGGAATAAACTATTGAGAATAGATCAAGAAGTGGGAGTGGGAAGGGGTGGAACTGAAAGGAGAACAGAATTTAAAAGTTTGCAGGCATTTGCCACTGGAAATACGCACACAGGTTTTAGCAGCTAATTGGAACCTCTGTCTGTATTGAAAGACAGAGTATGAAATTTGGCCTGCAATGAGGCTCGGGGTCTGTTCCAGTGAAACATGTATGTGTGTAAGAAAAACATCTAGAGAGTGCAAGTGGCTTAACTTGTTCCCTTTTTTTTTTCTTGCAAGTCTTTATTATTAAGTCTAGCAAATGAATCCTAACCAGAAAGATTTCTCACTTCAGTTCAGACGACAAGTTTTATTTATACTGGGGGCCTGGATGTTTCAGGGCCTGTTCAGTTATCAGTATTTTTTTGCCTTTGAGTTGTGGGTTTCAAATCTCACCCGAGATGGTAATAGCAAATGATGTTTACCATCTGAAATGTATCCAGTGGCCCATGAAATGAGTTTTTCATATCATCCCAGGTTTTGGTGGATAGCTATCCCAAATGCAATGCCTGCTGTTCCAGTTTCGGCTCAGTTAAGCTTGTGGGTAGATTCAGAGAAGTGACTGCTGCTGGGAGAGACTGCCCCAGCTTCAAAGTTGTCTTTCCAGATGAGGTGGGAGGTTCACGGGTAAAATAACGGGAAAGAAAGTGTGTTCTTCAACCACCTATACTGTACAAGACCACTTTTTGTTTTCTTTTCCAAAATCGTGTCTGGGATTTTTATGGGCACTAAAGTATGCTTAAAGTAATCTCTTTAAAAGTGCCCCAACATGGTATTGATCATGTTTAGATATAACATCACCTTCTTTTATATTATCTTTTATATTAGGATTAGTTCATTGGTTTTGACTTGCCTACAGAGCTCTCTATGGGTGTTGAACTATTTCATGAATACAGGACTGGTGGATTTATGTCCAATCTTAACAAATGCCATTTTTGAGAACTTTATGTTCTCTTATTTTTTTTGTAATTGTCATGTATAGAATTTCATGCCCCCCAAAAGCAACCAGCAACGATGGCAAATACAGCCCGTTCCAATTTTTAAAAAAAGTGTTCTCTGAACAGTGCTGGTTTTGAGCCTGCATTCCTTTTACATTTAACTCCTCTCCCCACTGAAGTCAAGAGGTTCAGGTATGCACAAAATATGCAGGTTGCCCCTGAGCTTACCTACTGCTAAAGCTAACAAACATACAGACACCACAATATTAGACTACTCACTATTAGATCTCAGGCTTTCAGCTAGCCTGCAGGTCCCATCTTTGTCCATATCTTTGGCTTCTTTTGAGCTTTATCATCTTATGCGGACTTTATTATCTTATGCGGACAATAAAAAGAAATGAAACCGCTTCTTAGGTACATCCAATGTATTGTCAATATCTCAAGAAATAATAACTGCTTCTCTTGACAAGTTATCAAGCTGCTTAAAACATCCTTAGCCAGAAAGAACAAACAGCAACACTATGTGCTGCTTTCCAATGTATTTCTTATTTCTGTTGTGGAGGTGCCTGAGGATCCTGATTGAGGCCCCATTGTAATAGGCGATGTACAACAACAGCACAAAGGCAAAACCTCAGTCCTGGTTCCCAGAAAACACAGGAAAATCCATGGGCAATTGGAAAAAAAAACCCTCATTGTTACGAATAAATCAATAAAGAAAATGCTGGTTTTATTTCCATCTGAGAGTACATTTGCTTTCAAGTAAGACCACTGCATGAGATCGAGTTCAATCCTGCTTCCTTTAATTATGCTACACCATTGGTGACTTACATGGGGAGTTTACCTGTGCCAGAACCAAAGAATCAGTCTCATTATCTTAAGAGTCATCTTAACAATGTGGCTTTGATAGCTATCTTTGTAGTTCTAGAGCTCTGTGTCAGAGAGTCATACTTTATCTTAAATGTTTGCAATGACTGCATTTTTAACAAGGAGTTTATTATACAAAGGCCTCCTATTTCCACAGACCATTTTAGGGTAGTTCTTCTAAGCTACTGTCATCACATACAGATGTAACCTGTGGCCCTTTTTATCACTGCTGTTTGTCTGGCAATACTGCCTTGAGGAACCCTGCTCTTATTGCAGTAGATCAAGACTGAAATTCCACCCAAGCCTAGTGGCCTGTTGATTGGCATATTAAAACCACATCAATTTTTGCACTCAACAGCATATTGGGGAATGATGTAGGTAGCATATCTACATCTGCCTTTGACTCCTGAACCTGAATGACCATCGTTTGGCCCTTTCTGTTGGTTAGAAACCACCTCCTAACCTACCAGGATGCACTGAAGGGATTGAGAGCTTGCAAGATTTTTCATCAGTTCTTTTTAAGAACATAGATGCATGGCAGAGCTGTGTGTACTTGTCTCACATTTTCTCACCAACATTTTGTTGGTGTCTGTGTGTGCCATCTGAGGCAGCAAACGCAGCAATTAAGTAATCTCTGCAAATCCTGAAAAAGCTAAGTATCAATGGCTATTTATTCCAGTAACCAATTATCATAAGAAAATAAAGCTTTGCAGTTCTGTTGGAAAACTGACTTACCAGTTGCCTTTTCTTGTTTGTACTGATTATTCTCCCCATTTCGTTAGACACCTCAGAGCACCTGATGAAGCAGGTTATTGCCTATGAAAGCTTGTGCCTCTCTGAACCAGTTCATCTCTAAGGTGCCTGACTTCAGACTAACGTGGCTAAACACTGTCCCACTGTATGACTATGCTTACAGATTTGTGCCTTACACTCTGCAACAAATTTTCTTTGCTCTATAACATAATGCAAAATCATTTGCTGTCCATTTTTTCTTCTTTATATATTTCTTTACCACTACTCTTGGATTGACTCAACTCCACTTTGTTCTTGTTTCCTGTACCATTTCCTTCAGGTTCAGGTCTCACTGTATCCAGCTCTCTTGGCTTAGGTGGGTTTTTATACGTCTTCCCTCTGCCCTGTCCAGCTTATATTTTGACCCATGTTTTACTACTTGAGAGTGAATGGGCTTCTGTCTTTTAGAACTGCATATTTAATCCAGCAAAATGCGGAAGCCTCTCAACTTCTTTGGAAGCCACATTCACATGAATATCACACAATCATGTATCACTCCCTTAGAGCAATGGCTTCATCTTGGGCGACTCTCTCTGTAGCAGAGATACCAGGACTGTTTTAACATCTTAGCTTTGTCATTCTTATACTTCTCATACTTGAGCTGCTGCTGCTGTACTACCAATAGCACCTGCTCTTTTTGTTCATGATCCTTTGAAACGATTATCTTCATTTCTGGGCTCTAGTGTCCCTGTCAATGCCTGGCTTTCCTATCTCCTCCCTTAGTTTGCTTGCCTTGTTTCTCACTAGTCCTGTTATTCTCTCAGCTCTGCTCGCCCACCATTATTAAGTTATTAACTTCTCATGGTCTAGACTCCCCACTTCCTCTCGCTTTGAATGTCCTCAGTAGCTCCCTCCTGTCTTCCTGTTCTTTGCTGCACTTCGGAGTCAGAAATGCCTAAACTGATTACCATTTTGTTTATGGGCAGAGCCATATTCTCTGTACAGTTTGATTTTTAGGAAACCTGTTGTAAAATTGGTCAGTTTCTAATGTACAGCATGTCAGGCAAACCAAAGCTGTGAGGGCAATAGGAGCAGAATGACAGTGCAAAAGACTTTGCAAAGCAAATCACGTTTAAGCAAGAAATGCAGCTTTAGAGAAGTGAAGGATAAAAAGCCCTTACAATAATGCAGGCAAAAATATAAAACAAATCATCCGGAATATAATCAATATACAAAATAAAAGCCAGAAAAAATAAAATCCAACAACCCTGTCCCAAGGAGAATGTCACTATGGCTACTGATATTTGTACAGAAGACTAGGGCTGTGTGAAGCTTCGGGTGCTGATTCGATTTGGAGGAGATTTGGCCCGATTCAGTGGCTGAATCTCCAAATTGGAACCGAATCAGGGGACCAATAAAAAGGTCTGAATCAATTCGAAGCTCCCCAAATCAATTCAGAAAAGAGTCAGAGAGCTTTGGAGATTCAGGCAGTCCCTGCTCACCGCTGCAGGGAGCTGGACCTGGACTCTGCGCTGCTATGTAGGTAGGGGGGAAGGAGGGGGGACTCCTGCCAGGCCCCATCCCCTGCCTGCTCCCCCAGCCCCCTTGACTCCCACCCACTCTCCCAGCCCTGTCAATGACTGCCCTGCCCGGCCCCAGCATCTGGGCTCTTTAAAAAAATAAAAAAAACCCCGCACCCACCAGCTGCTGCAGCAGTTGTCAGGGCTTCTGGGGGCTCGTGGCAGAGCCCCCACACAGCACAGGGCAGTGAGGGGCAGCAGGGATCACCTCCCAACCTAGCAGCATCCAGTGAGTGCAGGGCTTTTTTTTTTCTTTTCTTTCTTCAAAGTGCCCAGATGCTGGGGCCAGGCGGGGCAGCCATTGATGGGGCTGGGAGAGTGGGTCGGGGATGGGGTCTGTTTGATTCGGAGATTTGGCCGAATCAATTTGGGAGAGTGATTCAGATCACCAAATTGAATCACTGCCCCCCGAATCGGCTGAATTTGAAGCAAATACTAGCTGCTTCACACAGGCCTACAGAAGACCTCACATCCTATAGAAATAGCCAAACAGTGTATAACTCTACGGCCATGATCTGTAGGGGCTGCTTTTTAAACAGGAATCTCCATTTACATGGAGCTTAGGGCAGGCTCATTTAGCATCTCTGAATGACAGTGACAGTTAGCCTGCCCACATAATAAATACCACTCCCCCCTCCCAGCCTTGTGCAGACACAGTTTCATTAGGTCCACTTTAAGAGGCAGGCTGGTTGAGGGCACCACCACTGAACCCAGTAAATTTAGTTCTATGGTCATGTCTTCGACAACCATATATTGGTGTCACTTTCTTGACTTCCTGGGACTATAAACACATTCCTTAAATTTGGCTATTAGATACTCCCTTAAAAATGGCACTCTCTAGAATGAAGTAGTCCTTAACCATGACTTAACATCACTGAGACTTCTCTGCCAAGCATCTATGGGGTCAGACTTTGCAGTAATGACTACATTAAAAGCAAGGCTTCCTGATCTTACAGATTCTGCCATTTTAGTTTTAAATGTTCCCACCCACCAACATTTTCTTAATTTTGTCTTTCTAAATGTAGAAGAGTAACAGGTGAGAGAGTTTTATGGCAACCAACTTGCAGGGCACTTGGAGCATTGTAAATTGATGAGTGCAATCCTGCAGCCTGTCAAAATAAGTAATATTGTTTTGTAGGCAAAGACTTCAGAATCAGGCCCTTAATAATTAGCTTATGAGGTATAATAATGGAAGACAGTGTGCTTCAATGTTTGGCCCTTTTCTCGCTGGAGATATAGCACCATCTCATACCATTCGTTTTAATGCCAGTTGAGATTTCTGTTTCAGACTTGATGGCATGGAATGCCTCACTAGTGTTGAATCAGTTTTTGTATACTGTGACATTTGGAGACTCTTCTCCTTTGACTGGAGATTTCTGTTCCAAGCTTCTAGTAAACAAGTCATTTCAGCACTGGTTGCAGACAGTTCCCAGTGCTACAAGTGGGCAGAAACCCATGGTTAGCAGAGCTCTGCATAGAAGGGCTCATTTGCTCTGATACATTTGCATCAGTGAGTTCTGTAGGGTGCCTCCTTGTCCTGGAAAACCATCCTCCCAAACTGGTCATCTTATTGACTTCCATGCGACTACTCATAGAAGTACAATTTTGCAGGTGTGAGCCCATCATCTGTAATAATATATATTATTTTACATACATCAATTTTAGCAATAGTTCAAGTGTTGCTTCCTCAGGAAAATGAAGGGAATACTGCCTTAGGGTGAAGTTACACATTAGACCATACTAAGGGCATTTAAAATATGAGCGTCAACATGTTAAAGTTCATTAACTCATACTAAGTGCCTTCTGAGCATCTCAAAGTTGCACCACTTCAGGTGAGGGTTAACACTGGGCTGTGCAACTTAGCTCTTGTTAGGCTAACTTCAGTCTGCTCCACAAAGGTAAAACAAACAAAATTTGTAGTCCTCCAACATCCCAGTATGCACCACTCCCAGCTTCCCTCCCTGCCCCCATATCGATAGAGCCCAGGTATCCTGGCTCATAGTCATGCCCCTACTTGCTAGTTCTCTAGTTGCAGGTCAGAGCTGGGCAGGCAAAAAATACTGTTAACCCTTAATGTACAACTGCTCACAGCACATTCTAACTTTTAACACTGCTTGACATTCCACAAATTTAGTATGGTCTAAATGTAATGTATAACTTCACCCTTACACTGTGCGCTGATGGTTAAAGCATTCACTGAAAAGATGTGGATTCAAACCGCCTTAGGTCCCTCAGTTGGTCCCAGGTATCCTACAACCCAAGTCAGGGCTCTAACCACTGAGCCATTGTGCAAAATGGAGGGGTACCCCCTGCTTCCTCTATGTTTGGTATAGGACCACCTCCTATAGTGTGCTGTGAGAACACTATAGGATCATACTGTAGTGTGATCAGGCCCTGCATGCAAGTGAGGCAGAGAAATGGCTAGTATACAAGTCATGATGAGGCTTAACTGTGAACCAGGAAAGCCTTGTAAGCAAAAGTAATTTGTACGTTGGAGGGGGTTGCATTCCTGTTACTGATCTACCTAATTATAAGGAGCTGGTTTATAAAACCGCCTGGTAACAAGAAGTGATTGTTCCCAAGAGAGAAACCCATTGACTTGTTAAATATATGCAGCTATGCATGGCAGCACAGCTGCACACACTCTAGACTAAGGGGTCTAATCCCCCATCAGCGCCTGAGGGATTTACACATGTAACTTTCATTAATGCAAATAGAAGATAGCTGCATAATCCCTTTTGCAGCAATGGAGAGAGGAGGCCCCCACTTCAAAGTCCACTGATCTAACCACTTGCAAGATAACATCTAATCACATCAGTGAGAACGTGTCATGTTCAGCCTTTTAAAGTGGCAGTATAAGAGAGCAGGACTGAATTTGAGGGAAGTTAGTCAGCCCTTCAACAGCCACCCTTTGTCTTTTTCCCCTTTTCAGCTATCTTTCAAATCATTCAGAGCATCAGGATGGGCATGTGAGAAGCAGGGAATCGACACTGACTTTACCATTCAACATGGTGGACCAGATACAAGTCTAGCCTGGCATACACATGAAGAGGTCTTACCTGACAGTGCCTGCACATTTCTTCTTGGGTGGGTCAGACCAAATTACCTTTTGACCTGTCATGCTGGTACATACATGTTTTAACTGCGACAACAGAAAAGGACATTTTGCTTTTCTATTGACTTAATGCATTAACCACATTGGTTAACTATTCCAGTGCTGTTCAGTTGATTTATTTATTCTCTTACCTAGTAATTTATGTGATGGCCATGTAAGTGCTTCTACTTTGTGTGTATATTAGAATTCTGCTCTATGCTGGACATTTGTTTTTATTACAAATAAATATTCATGTGCGCCTCTATCACATTGGTTCTAGTTTCCCAAATGTTTGACACTATAAGCAGACAAATGGGTATAGTTGTCTTTTTGGTAACATACACTAGCAGCCAGATCATGGGGTCCTTATTCATACAAAGCTTTCAAAAGATCTGATCCACTTTCATACAAATGAAATGGTCCTGTCAGACCAACCTGGTGGCCTTTTACAACCAGGTCACTAAATCACTGGATGCAGGGGTGGCAGTGGATATAGTTTTCCTAGACTTCAGGAAGGCTTTTGATACTGTCTCTCACCCCATTCTCATTAGGAAGCTGGGGGACTGTGGCGTAGACACCCATACAGTCCAATGGGTCGCCAACTGGTTAGAGAGTCGCACCCAGAGGGTGGTAGTGGATGGGTCCTTCT